ATTACCACTATCTTTCCTAACAAGGTTAAAGATCTAAAAGCATATGTTAATGAGGTGAAGCTCAGTGGGTCCTTAGTCTTTTTATGAGGCCAAAGTTTCCTCTTTTTTTATGAAGCTAAATATTTTTTTTAAATGTACCACGCCAATTTTTTTTCTTTTAAGGGAAGACTTGCAGTTAAAAAAACCTTGCTATGGACAGGACAGCAGCTGAAAGTGACTTCTAACCTCAAGTCGACCACAACATAAAATGAAAGGTGAAAAGCCCACAAAAATAAGGGGAAAATGCAAATTAGAATACAGTTTCCTAACTGACCCAAACCTCTCTCTATGCAGTTTGTCATCTTTCCCTACAGCTTCCAATTCACTAACACTATAGCTGCTCTATGCCACCCCTCTTATAGTGAGTTAACCCCCTCAGACCTTAAAGTGAACCTTAATTCCTTTGTGAACTTTGAAAAGTAAGTCATAGTTATGAGAAGATGTCTGATATTACTTTTATTAGCTCTTAGCCAGAAAAGCCACTTTTGTCCCTCTTCTTCTAGTTTTTCTAGTAGTATGATTTTTCCCTGACATAATCAATGTCAACTGCTATTCCACTGTCGATTCAGAGAAGCCTCAGTGGCCATTGTAGCAACTCTCAGTGGCCAGTGTAGCAACTCTCAATTGCCAGTTGGATGGAAATCATCAGCGCTTAGACATGAACTTGGACAATTGGGCATTAGTAATAAACTAAGAAACAGGCACAGAATAGGCTTTTAAAAGGCATCTTGAGGTGTCTGCTTTAGGGCAGACCTTTAAACTTTTAAAAAGGAGTACAGGATCATTTTCAGATATTGCACATAAAAGCTATACTGGGAAAGGAGGTGGGTATTTGAAACTGGTGTAAAACTAGAGGAAGAAAGTGTGGACGTGTTGCCCACGCCAACCAAATGTGTTTTCAGCAATAATTTTCCGTGTGCTTCTAGCAACTGATTTGTTGGCAGCATATATCCATTTTTCTTTAACGTTTCCTTTTTTCTACTGTTTTTATATTGGAAATATACAGTATGAGGTTAATTGCAGTATAATACATCTGAATGATCCTTTTTATGATATTTTTCCTTTTATCGGCGTGGAGAACTAGCTGACTTTCTGCATACTTATTTGCTAAGCCTCATATTGTGTTTGGACCCATGAGACGTTTCATATTTTTGTTTCCCGTGATAAGATTTCCATGTTTTCATTTCCTGCTTGCTTTGGTTGTCAACGGACACAGTGATGCATGTTGTTTATGTTCTATTACAATGGCATAATTCACAACCCATTCCAACCCGCAAAGCTAAAACATTGGGAAATGGCAATGCACCAGAATCCTCAAAGGAAGCATGTAAATGTCAACAGAGACCCATCAGTCACCAAATTGATTTGCTTTTTTTAAATAAGACAGCATGGAAAGCCAGAATGGGCTTGCTGAGGTTTTTACAATTGGTTTTAAACATCAAGGGCCTTTCCCCTTTTTAAAAAAAAATATATTTGTCATCTATTTTACATGCATTTTGCCTGTTTTTTGCTAGTCCATTGGATAATGAGTATTTATCTTCTATCAATCTGAGGGAAGAAGATGCAGGCTGCACTTTGCTAAACCATCACCCATAGAACCAATAGATTATGCTGTTCCATTGAATGCAATTGGAAAGATTTGCCTTTTTTGATTCTTTTGATTTTTCCTTTTGGCTTCTTACCAAACCTCAGGAAACCTGTACCTGTGGAATTGGGTCTTAAGAGATTGTGCTTTGTAAAATAATTTAACTAGATATCCACAACAAATTATTATTTGAAATAACTGTCCTTAGAAAGATATGGGAACTGCCACTGAGGGTCTCTCCTTTGAAAATGTTTGTTACCTCTCAGTCTTGCTTGTGTTGTGACTTCAGTGAGGTCTGAGTCTCTGGCACAGAAGAGAGATAAGCTTCAGAGTTCTTATCTGACAGTTGTTTGCAGCATGCTTTTTCTGGTCTGTAACTCAAAGTTTCAAAGCCAAACACAGTCCAGCAACTCCCCTTTGCAATTGAGTCGTAGCAATGGCAGACCCTGCACTTTTCTCATCATAGTCACTTTAAAGCTAAACTCCAGGAGTGCATGACTTTGCATTCTTACATTGCTCCAGCTTGTCACAAAGTAAGTATGCATATGCAATACCTGATCAGTGGCTCTGCCGTAAAGCAGTGTAGAAGCTAGAGCTACTCCAGTGCTGGGCTTGATCTTCCGGGTCCTTTTTACTGTACAGTGCAAAGTGGCTTTTACTTTACTCGGAAAGCACAGGGGGTCGCTTGCTCAGCACAGCAGCCATTCAGAGAGTTTATAGTCCATCCTTTTTTTCTTTTTCTTTTTTTCTTCAATGAAATCACAATCCACCCCTCATCCAATCACAGACTGCCTTGTATTAATTTATGAAAATTCTAGACATTCTCTGAATGGCTGTACAGTACCTGGAAGATCGTGGCCAGCACTGTATTATTTCTGGCTACTACAATGCTTTACATGATCCCCAGTGGCCGATCAGGCATGGCCTATGCATGCTTACATTGGGACAAGCTGGACAGATGTAAGTATACAAAATAGTGCCTATGTGGATTTCAGCTTTGAAGCAAAGTGTGTCTCTCCCTTCCCTTTTACCATTCTTGCTCTCTGGACTTAAGGTCATATTTCCACTGTTGGTTCCTCTGCAATTTTCATAATCTGCATATTCACTGTATTTTTTACTATGTTTTCATAATATGCATACTCACTTATTCTTTGACTGTGACAACTCATTTTGGTTTCTTTGTGTTTAGCTAAGATTGTTGTTTGTACTTTCCTGTTGCTCCTTGCAGCTCTGTAATTAGGAATGTAAACTGAATAACCATACAGTTGCAATTCCAAAGTGATACTGATGAAACCTTTTCAACCGAGTACAGATTGACATAATTTACGACTGTATGTATGCCCAAGACTTTTTTTCTAGGTTTGCCTAGAGCAGTGAGGGATTAGAACGCCTGCCAGAATTTTATTGATGTTTGTGCCCCCTTTTTATTTGTCATGGTCACCATTGTCAGTAGGACTCAAAGAGTAAGGAGATCCAAAGTTTTACAGTTGTTGCAAGATCCGGTGTTAAACATTTTTCCAATATAAAAACATTTTTCCTATATAGACCCCTTTTCTGGTGACAGCTGTCTGAGGAATATTTGCCTCACTTTGGAGAGATTTCCTCTCACTTCCTGTTGTGTCTCCAGGACAATGTGGAGGGATCAACCAACAGGACTCCCCAACAGGACAGAGATTGACAAAGTTTACCTGACTGGTTTTAACCCTTCCCTACTCTAAAATACATTTTATAAAATTGGCTTTACATACATTTTAAAAGAAAACACTAGTAAGATAAAAAATTTAAAAATACATATTTACACAGTAAAGTCAATGTCATTTATTTTAATCTGAGTGGCAGAAGTACAAATTACTTCTATACACTGATGGAGAGGGGGCCATTATGTGCCTAATAGCTAAACAGTTGTCTGAAGCCTAAAGAAACGGAACATTGTCTGCTGCAGTCTAAAACATTACTTTCTTCCCAACTCTACATTCCAAAGCAAAACTCAACCACACATTGAAAATTTTCATGTTGGAATATCTGTGACTGAACGTTGTCTTTTGCCTGGAGTCATCCTTACAGTGCTTTAATATGAGAGCAGTGCATTAAAAGAGAACTATGGCCCAGCCTCTTTTTGCCATAGTCTTTAGGGTCACAGGAGGACATATGCTAATATACCACTATATGCTGACTGCGCACAGCCGCACTGCAGCTGGGACGTATCCTGATTGACAGCTGACTCTGCCTATCTAGAGGCAGAGCCCACTGTGCCTGCCCCTCCCCCATCCTTTCCTCCAGTCAGCGCTGGAGAATCGAAGAGGGGAGGGGGGAATCCCTGCATGAAGCGGTGACAAAGTCACCGATTTCTGCAGGGAGATGATCGGGAACAGAGCGATTAGCAGTACATTATCGACATGTGACAACTTCAGTGTTGTCATTACAATGGCACCTGGAACTGGGTGGGAAATCTTAGCAAGCAAGTGAACTTTTTATTCCTGAAGTTGATGTGTTGGAAGCAGACAAAATGGGCAAGTGTGAGGATTTGAGCGACTTTGACAAGGGCCAAATTATGATGGCTATACCACTCGTTCAGAGCAACTCCAAAATGGCAGTTCTTGTGGGATGTTCTCAGTCTACAGTGGTCCAAAGAAGAAAAAACAGTGAACTGGCAGCAAGGTCATCGGTGGCCAAGGCTCAGTTAGTCGTAGGAGAGCTACTGTAGCTCAAATTGCTGAAAAAAATTAATGCTGGTTCCGATAGGTTTCTGAACACACAGTGCATCATAGTTTGTTGCATATGGGGCTGCTTAGCTACAGACCGGACAGGGTGCCCATGCTGACCCATGCCCACTGCCAAAAGTGCCTAAAATGGGCATATGAGAATGAGAACTGGACCACAGAGCAATGGAAGAAGGATGCCTGTTCTGATGAATCACATTTTCTGTTACATCATGTGGATGGCCGGGTGCGTGTCTGTCACTTAGCTGGGGAAGATATGGCACCAGGATGCACTATGGGAACAAGGCAAGCCGGTGGAGGTGTGATGCCCTTGGTAATGTTCTGCTGGGAAACCTTGGGTCCTTCCATTTATGTGGCTGTTACTTTGACACATGCCACCTACCTACGACTGTGAGTCCCCTGTGAAGGCACTGACCGCAGCATACCTTCAGAGGTCTAGTGAAATCCAGTGGAGTCCATGCCTGGGTTGGGGCAGGGCTATTTTGGGGACAAACTCAATATTAGGTGGGTGGTCATAATGTTTTGGCTGATTGATGTGTGGGTATGTGTATATTTATATCAGTACATGCAAACCGTATTTATATTGATTATTTTATCTACTAAATTAAGCGTGTAAATTGTAGCTAACTATGTACTTGTGTTGTCTCCCTTCCTAGTTATAAGGTGAGCTTCAGGCCAAGATACGTAACATCCTATAAAGTGGTCACAGAACTGGAGTGGAGGTGTTGTCCTGGTTTTAAGGGTCACGATTGTAATGATGGACCTGCAGACAAGATAAAATTAACTCCCATACAGACACCTCAACCAAGTGGAGGAAAGAAGGAAACAGGTGAGATCACTCATGGTTTGTTTTTGTTTTTTTAGTTTTTGGACTTTTATTGCCTAACCAGATTTAAAGAACTCCTGAATTTTTTTTAAACATACCCTTGCAGTGGGACTACCCCTGCACTGCAAGGGTTGTGTGCTCGTTTTGGTCTAGGGGCTCAAATAAATAAGTAGTGCCTACCTGATCCTTAGTGCTCACCTCTCTCCCCCTCCAGTCTGGCTGTGGAGTAACCCTATGCGTCCTCACGTCTAATGCAAGTCAGTGGCCTGCTTAAGACATGGTGACGTGAGCGGTCCTCAGATTCCCGGAGCCCAGGGGAGAAGAGGCTGCGGGGACCTGTGTAGCAGTCAGGCGGGACCAAGGATCAGGTGAGTGTATTTTCTTTATTTGAACCCAGCCAAAACAAGCACTTAACCCTTGCTGTACAGGGGTAGCCCCACTGCAAGGGTTGGTTTTGTAATTCCGGGAGTTCCTCTCGAAAGGAAAACTGTTAGGACAGCATTAGTGTAAAAGGACGTCTCCAGAAATCATATTTTCTGCTCAAACGATTGTCTGGCTACACATTGCAGCCATTCCCTGCAATATGAGTTTCATTTTTGGTAGACTCTCTAAACATCATTCACTTCTAAAAGATTATTGATACTGCAGCTTTTCTCATTACAACACTCGGAGTTGCTCATGGTATAATAATAATAAAGGCCGATCCTCCCATTTACAAATCAGTTTGCTGTGAAGTATACATCATTTCTTTTCCCAAACTAGGAAATCCACAAATATGTCTTCTAAATTCTTACCATCTTGTCTTGACTTGTATTGTAACTGTAATGTCTTCCTTATATTGTAAAGCGCTGTGCAAAACTGTTGGCGCCATATAAATCCTGTTTAACAATATAATGTTCACAGAATGGAATTTTTATTTTTCCCTCAACAATATGAGAGCCAGATGCTGCATTTTGAAATGCTCAGTCAGCAATGGCAGCTGTCATATTTATATCTGTCCTCCAGGGACGTGCGGTCAGGGGAGGCAGGTGAGCCTCGCTTAGTATTATGGAGGAAAAAGCTGTCAGCTTCAAGTCTTCGATCTCGATGCCTCAGCTGTAACGAGGCTCCTCCCTGTCTCCTCCCTCCTTCACACTAGCTTGAGGACATGGGGACCAGGTTCGGGGGGGGCGGGACATGCTGGGGGTGAGGCTGGGGAATGCCTCACCCGGAACTAAAGGTACCGCACGTCACTGCTGGCCTCATAATTTCACTCTAAAGGCCGTGACACACTGCACGCGAAGCCGTGCAGAGCGAAGCAAAGCTATCCGGCACGGAGCTTTGCGTGCAGTGTGTGAGCTGAGTGCAGTCAGATGATTGACAGCACCTTCAGCCAATCGGCTCGTCCGTAACAACCTGCCAGCTGGCTGAAGTTGAAATTGTTCATCTCGGCACGCTCAGCTCCGCGAGCTCTCGCAAGTTGAGGTGCCCAGCAGAAAATGACATGACACCCTGCTCGCAAAGGCAGCGCGCCCCCGCTCCGCGCTGCTTCACGTGCAGTGTGTCACGGCCTTAATTGTGTGTTCTCGCAAATGAGTAGTAAGTCCAGGGAGGACAGCGTCGGAGCTAACGTGAGTATTTCAGTGTGAGGTTTTTTTGTTTTTTTAATCAGTGAATTTCAAAACAATTTGAATTTAAAAAGGATTCCTGTGCTAGTAACACTAAGGGGTCTATTCACAAAGCTGCCGAGGGCAGCCGAGTGAATGACCGATCAGAAGTGAAGTGAGCCGAACACTGTTCGGCTATTCACTTCAGGCTGGTACGGCTGATTTCAGCCGTATATCGGCTGAAATAATGTGGAAGCAATTAGCAGCTATTCACTTTCTCACTCACTAATGCAGATTCACCGCTTGGATCCTGTATACAAGAACCTATTTTTAATAAGTCAATGTCTAGCCTAAATCTTACAAAATAAAATGTTGAGAAAAAGGAACATAAAGACCTAAAAGTTTTCTTTTTTTTTTAAACACAGATGTGGTAAATTGTGCATAGTTACTAGCTCTGCATTGTATCCAAACTTTTCTAGGGCCCCACCTATTTGATACATCTGGCTCACTGTGGAAAGTTCCATGACAGCAAATAGCTTTCAATTAAAGCCCATGGAATGGATCACATATTCTTGTGTGACTTGTGAGAGGGACCTGCCAAGCTTACTGATAGCACACTGTATAATCATAATACATGGGCAGATAATCCCTATTACAAATGATTTTCCCTTTCTCAGAAAAACATATTGTATGACAGAGTCCATGGACTGGTGGAAAGATATGAGTAAGAAGTACAATTTATTATAAAAAGGGTACGTTTATATTATAATGTGCACAAAGAAAAACCATTTCACAAAACAGTTTGGGGTTATTGTGTATGTCATGCGTTGTGCTTCCTGCATACCTGCTTGTATGTTTAATTATTGCATAGCTGTGTTTTCCCTGAGTCTGCACTGTGCATTACTCTAAAAAGTAGGGATGCACCAAATATTGTCTTTTCAGTATATTTTTTTATCAGTTCCCCCTAATACAGAGTACCAATATAGGCATCCCGATGTTGCGTGGGCCTGGCTTCCCAGCCAATCAGGAAGCAGTGCAGCGGATCATGGCCTGCCCGCCCGGCTTCCTGTTTGGTCGGGAAGCTGTCTCCATGCTCCCTCATGGCACTGCCGGTCAGAAGGAATCTCCCTCTAACCAGAAGTTCTGGTATCCATGAAAGTATCGGAGCATTTGGGCGAGCAAAAGTAAACGCTTAGTATCGGTGCTACCTAAAAGTTTGGAAGGTACTAAGGGAGGAGGCAGCTACTATTATTTAGACTGGCCTATCCTAACCCCTTTTGACCTAAAATGTGTAGGAATCCTGCCTGAGTTCTCCCCCTGTCTTCAGCCCCATAATTACTCCTTTTTACGTTCTCAACACTCGCTTCCCTCCCATACCATCTGACTGCTTAATCTCCCCCTCTCCTGATATTTCAGTGTAGCAGTGGCAGTGCTGCAGCTTACTACAGCTAGTCCTAACTATCTATGGTGAGCTGCTACACTGAGTTGATCGAGTCAATTTCTTTACTTTCATTGTTAGACAAACATATTTTGAGTCATGTTTTGGGGAGACGTACAGAGTGTTTTTGTAGATTTTGCACACAAACACACTTTAAATAATCAATAGCTGTGTTTGCTATTTTTCGTTGGTTTTTGTTTTTTTCCACTTATTTTGTTCATCATAGGACATTGAAATATGCTACGATTTGTAAAGAGACGTATATAGACTTTGAAACCAAAAAGTTGGCATGCACGGCATTGTGCCAGTGGGGAACAGAGTTACTTGAACAGCAGCTTCTCTGTTTATATTGTTCTATGTTTAGCAGGTTTGTTCCAATCTGCCAGATGTGTTCCCCTTTTTTTTAACCAATACAACACTTTTTTTTATGGAAATGCAGAACTTTTGTTTGCTGTTTTCCTAGTACACCAAATGGCTGTTTGATACTTTACCCCCTGAAAAACAGCTAGCAGAGAAGCTCCAGAAAGGGCATAATGGAAATAGTGTACCAAAAACAGTACCTCACTTCTTTATAAATGGGTCCCCTTAATTGCACAGGTCAGTTCACCGATATGTGTATTGTAGTTTCAGCAAGAACAACTCACTTTTCACCTTCCTTCAGTCAGCAGTAAATTCCCACAAAAGCCACATTATCGTATAGAAAGGTTTTGGGTGACCTACAGTACAGATAGTTCTTTGCCACTAGATCCACTGTCTTACAAGAACATGGATTATTGTTTGTATACTAAGGTAATATGGATATGTTTTAATCTCACTGTGGAAATAAGACATGAATAGGGTGAATCTATTTTACAGATCGAATTGATCATGCACTGAGCATAATTTACACATTTGTAAACTTTGTATTATTCTTGTTTGAACTAATTCATGCAAGTTTACAGTTTTAACTAAGCTTAAAGTCATTGCTTTCTTGTTTTTATTGTATAGACCCAAATGGGCAACAACAAAAAGCCCAAGACTCCAAGCGAGAGCTTCAAGAATTAAATAAAGCACAAGAAGAAAAAGTTCAAGGTCTAGAAGATGAGGTACTTCGACTCACACAGACTATGATCGACCTACAAACGTCTGTATCAGGAGTGAATGAAAACTTAAAGATAACTGTTCAGGAAGACGTCAGTAAGTTCTTAAATGAATGGCTAAACAACCTGAGACCAACTGCTAGTGCCACCGGTGGTAAGACAGAATACTTTTTGCCTGGATTTTCTGGAAGTGCTGAGAGAGAGGATGGAATAAAAGATATTGTTTCTGAACTAACAACTGCCCAAGAAGAACTACAGACAAAAACTAAGCAAATTGAAGACCTGACCAGAAAAATCAATTTGTATGAGGAACGATTAATTGAACTAGAAAAAAAATCCCATGAACCGACAAAAACAGTGTCCACTGCTAATGTGCTTCAGACAGACTTGGATGACAAACTAGAAGCCCTGACTAATGAGATGATGGAGGGTATGGACCGAAAAATGGCTGACCTGAAAAATTCCTGTGAATATAATTTAATTAACATTCAACAACAATGTGAAGAGAATGAGAATAGCTGTTCGGGAGTCAAAGAGTTAGTTCTGGAAAAAGAGACAGAACTGCGGAATGAAATAAACAAGTTGAAATCCCAAATGCAGACTGTGCCAAATGGCAGTTCAGGTTGTTGTAAGACTGCTGATTTTGATGCCACTCTTAAAGATCTAAATGAAAAAGTTGAAAGGATTGCTGATGCTCATCGAACCCTTAATTTCCGAGTAGACAGTGAAGTACAACGCTTTAATGTGGTGCACCCAGATCAGTCATGGAACGAAAGATTTAATGACTTAGAGTTTAAAGTGAATGTCACAGAAAAAAATGCAGAGGAACACTGCTTTTACATTGAGGAAACACTGAGAAGTTTAATCAACACTAGCATAGAAGATGTAAGCAGTCTAATTGACCAAAAATTCCAACTGCTAGAGAATAGACTGGATGAATTTGGCAAAAATCAAGCTTCTTCTGATTCCAGTCACTCAATTTCTAGTACTGTTCTACAAGATGTAGATGACTTAAAGGATGCTGTAAAAAGGCTTGACACTGAGCTCAAATCATCAATGTTTGGCAAGAATGGTTACTTAAATAACAAGGAGGGTGATGGTGAAAGCTATCAAGTCTTGGTTCAGACCCAGTTGGGCAATTCTGTTCTCCTAAAGTCACTGATTGATGCAATGAATGAAAAATTTGAACAACTTCAAAACAAGACCTCAGATCTAGAAGCCTTACACAGTGAACTGGGTCTGGTTAAATTTGACCTTTACAAAATTGAAGACAACATTGATGTATTAAATGAAGGCTTTGCCTCAATGAAAGACCAGTTGAAGAATCTGGACTCTGCTGTTAAGAACACTCAGCTTGATCTATCTGCAAAAATAGATGGTACAAAACGCCCTAACAATACCTCAGACACTTTTGGAAACGACAAATGCTGTAGTAATCTGCAAGACAAGTTTGAAGTTTTAAAGCGTAACCTAACTACTGACAAAGGGAAATGTACCGATAATAATACTCAGGGAACCCGAACAGAGATTGCTAATATTGATGCCAGGGTTTCTAAGCTGGAAAATGTGTGTGGAAAGCTGGATACGATTTCTGGTAGTCTGCAACGAATTAAAGATGGGCTTAACAAACATGTTACCAGTTTATGGAACTGTATACACAACATCAATGGGACAATAAAGTCACATTCAAAGGACATTAATGGCCTTAAGAATTCAGTCCAGGTGTTCCAAACTCAGGTCACCAAGATCACTACTGATCTTCAGGATCTTATGAAGCATCAGCCTGGGGCAGGTAATGATTAGCATCACTAATTCATGAATGTGCACACGCTTTGTAAATATTGGTTTCCAGTAACTAAATCATTTTACAAGAACTGTCTAGTTTATAACTGACCCACCAGGGAACACTGTTAGAAAATAATTGTCAGGCTTGTCCCTTATTTTAAATCTGTCTTCTACTAACATTTTTTGATGTTTGTACAAACGAAACAATCAAATTTAATGTTCAGATCTCCTGGGTGTACAGTTGATTATAAGCATCCCTAATCTCACCCTGATCCAATAGCCTAATGTGACACTGAGGTAAGATTAGTCTGTTTAGGGATTCCCTTAGGGGATGTTAATAAACGCTTCCGTCTGAAGCAGTTGCACACAAAGTTACTCAGTTGTTGGAAAATCCTCAAGTGACTTTGCCGATCCTCTTTTATTCAGTGTGAATAAGGAAAGTGTTCTTTGGTGTGCTGCTTCAGTCTGAGTTTTAGTTGCATGGTTACCAGTGGAGGATCATGGAGCTATAGATGACTGGCAGATCTTAGGCAGTTTATATATCTCTCTATCGCTAGCAAGAATAACTGCCATACTCCGCTACTGACATTATTTCTGTTTTCTGGTTCAAAAAGAATATGCTAAAAACTATTAAAGCAGGGAAGGCAGTATAGGACCAATAGTTGCAAATCTCCCACTGTCATGAGCAACACAGTTGTGTGTTTATTTACATTTCATGAGCTGCATTGTGAAAGATCAAGACACAATAAAGAAAATTAACAGGTACAGACACTCAGGCCTTGTCTGAGAGAGCGATGGATAGATCTACTGATACATAGGTTTTTATGTACACATTTGATATTTTTATATTCATAGCTCTATGCATCAGTTAAATTTAAGTGCATGTTTTAAACTTAGAATAACATTTGTAGTTTTATTATTATTATTATTCATTCTTTCTCAAAGTGTTTTCAATGATACAACTCTAATGGAATTTTTTCTGAACAGAGCAGCTGGCAGGAAAATAGAAGTATTTTTTCGTTTCCACCCAATATTTTTTTTTATTGTGCCTATTTATACAGGCTTGGAATAATACTTAAAAAGCAAGTATTTTAAAATATTCTCGAATGATTTACACATGTAAAAGAAACATTGGAGCACAATTTTAAATGACGTCTAAATGACTTTATACAGGCCCAAATCTGTTTCCATGCATTATATTTATAGCTGTGAAAGAATCAGGCCTGGTTCACAACGTAACGTTTTGTAGCGCGTTCAACGCTCGACGAAAGCTCTACAAAACGCTCAAACCTCTAAATCCCATTGTATTCAATGGGTCTGGTTCACACCTTGCCGTATTTCCGCCCGTCCGAACGCGATACAAAACGGCCTACGCCCAAAGAAGTACATGTACTTCTTTGGGGCGTTTTGGTCTCGCGTTTCCATTGGGATACAGCCAAGTAGCCCTCGGAAACGGGCGTTTGTCGCGCGTTTTTTTTTACCGTGAAACGCCTCAGGCTGGGTTCACACCTGGGCGTATTGAATATGCGCGTTTGTTGCGCGTTCTTACCACGATTCGCGGTACAAGACGCGAGACAAACGCCCGTTTCCGAGGGCTACTTGGCTGTATCCCAATGGAAACACGAGACCAAAACGCCCCAAAGAAGTACATGTACTTTTTTGGGGGTAGGCCGTTTTGTATCACGTTCGGACGGGCGGAAATACGGCAAGGTGTGAACCAGACCCATTGAATACAATGGGATTTAGATGTTTGAGCGTTTTGTAGAGCGTTCGTCGAGCGTTGAACGCGCTACAAAAAGTTCCGGTGTGAACCAGGCCTTAGGTTGTGCAACAATTGTGTCTGGTACACATGTATTCAAGAGTTAATAGAATAGAACAGTGACTACACATTGGAGGATATGTATTTAAACATAAATTTAAAGCATAACTAAATACAAAACTTTTTAGATTTGGATAGAGTGATGAGGGATATGAACCTCTGTCTGTGCCCCCGTTAGGGAGATTCACTTTCTCCAATTGTCCTGATCACCACTGTCACAGGGAAAGAAAGGGTAAATCCAACATTTCGAATTGCCACCAGAACAGGAACAGAAGGGATTTCCAATGTTTACAATTGTTCCCATGACAGCTGTCTGCAAAGAGATTTCCCTCCTTGGAAAGGTATGCCCTGACTGTTGATTATGCTGGATAAGACGTAAAGGGAAATCTCTTGTGAGGCAAAAAAAAGCTTCTTACCTCTGTTTAACCCTCTTTTACTCTGTCCAAAGTGAAAATAAAGTTTGGCTTCAGATATACTTTAATGTATAGTAAAATAACAGCATTTTTGTTCTTCCCCTAAGGCACAGAGCCAAAACAAACTACAAAGCTTACACCACCACCACCAAGAGTAACAGAGAAACCCAGAGCTCCACAGCATCCAGTAATCCCTGTAGAACCACAACTACCTCAGGAACCAACTGACACAACACCAAAGCCAACGTCATCCAAACCAGAGCCACCAAGCCCAACTGGCTCTATTGTCATACCTTTGTTTCCTAGACGACCTGACATTATTATGGAGCAAGGTCAAGCTGGCCCTCCGGGAAGAAGCACTCAGTCTGGATCTGGAAGGCAACAAGGTTCCAATGGACAGCAAGAAATGGAGCTGTCTAAAGGCTTTGCTGGCGCACCAGGTAAATTCAGAAAAAAGGAAAAGATCTGTATGTTACATGTGTAGACACCTGGGACTGTAGAACATTTATCAGATATAGTAGCACATGAAATTGTAACAGCTTTATTTTATTTAACAGATCATACTGGTAAACTGAGTTTTGTTGATTTGAGTCTGAAAACTTGTGTATGGAATGTGGTTCCTGGCAAAAAAAACAACAATCCACTGCAGCATTAGGGGGAAAAGTGAAAAGTTTGTACACCACCATTATAGGGTTGGTAATACATGAGCTGTTTCTCACTCTTTGCGTTTTCTGCACATGTCAGTTGAATATCTGCTTTGCTGATATCAAAATTAAAGGATATTGAAGCCCAAATATGAAAAATGGATATATTTCAGCTTACCAGTCCTTAAGTGTGGTGGCTGCAATAAGGCTGCAGCAAATGATTATTTTCATAATCGATTAGTTGCCCTATTATTTTTTCGAGTTAATCGATTAGTTGCATTAAAAAATCAATCTCTCCCTCTCAGCCTGCCCTCCCCTCCCCCCTAACCAACCAATTGATAATGAGAATAGTTGACAACTATTCTCATAATCGATTATCAATTAGTTGGTTGTAGCCCCAGGCTGCAATAATCTTTTTTTTTTTTCCAGCCCAAGCACATTTTCTGCAAGAAAATGTCTTCACAATCTGTTGTTCTGTTGATATTCAGCTTTCCAAGCTATCTTCTGTGATCTACAAGCACCACCCCCCCCCCCCCCCCTTCCTGTCCCATCCAACAGTAGATTGATTCAGCTTTGTCAGACAGGACAGGTAGTGTGACAGGATCACAAGATTAATTTAACGATAAAAAGCCTGAAAAAAGGAATTTAATACAATTTCCACATCTAAGAACCGGCATGCTGCAGTGTATTCAGGTTTTGTTTTTGGATTTAGATACCCTTAAACACATCTCATTCATGACCATTGTATAGCTCTCTGTGACAGGGGACAAAGTTATTCATTATTGACAGCTGTTAGCTTATTTTCCTCTGGATAGAAATTCAGCACAGTATTTCAGCAGCTGCTTAAAGTATTCACTTTAGTGTTTTCCTTATCAGAAGTGCTCACCACCCTGCACATGTGTTCACGTGGACACATTGGCATTAGTGCTGCTTTACTTGGCACTTTTTCTACTCCCCTCTTCCAACGTGGGTCCTGCTGTACTAACAAATTCCATTCAAGGGAAGGAAACCAATTTAATAACCACAAATTACCCATCTATAGCTGGCCCAAGTGCTGATGAGCTGGTTTTTGGTGCCTAGGCACATATCTAGTAAATTTAAGAACCCTTATTTACTGCATATCAGAGGGAGTACATAAACATGCTTAAAGTGTATTGCTCCCCCCCCATATTATGTTTCTGTTCCTATTCACACAGTATATCTATGCATGCTTTTTTTTTTTTTTTAATTCTTACCCTTTAGATATCTCTATTTTGCAGGCCTTTGCATGTTCCTCTCTCAATTTTAGTAACAGCAAACTCTCCTAATGGATTCAGGACAGACTGCACATCTCCTCAATCACATACAATGTCTCCAGTGCTTTAACCCTTTGTTAGGACACAGTCCTGCTCATTATTATTATACAGAATTTATGTAGCGCCAACAGTTTGCGCAGCGCTTTACAATATAAGGAAGACATTACAATTACAATACAATTCAAGATGAGATGGTAAGAAGGGCCCTGCCCTTGAGGGTACACAATCTAAAAGATCTGTTTTTTAAGTGAAAAGGAAATCTACCAGCACAGTCCAGACAGGGTTAATTATTTGAAACAAAACTCCCTCCTCCCCCCCCCCCCCCACATCTCAAACTGGTGAGCTGTAAATTTTATTTGTTTAATGTTATGCTATGCGATTGGGAACATGTAACAAATCTAAAATAGTTGTTAACCCAATTGACTGCAAAAGTGGAAATACACTTTAAAGAGGCATTTGAATGTTTGGTCTGCTGTTGTCATGATAAAACTGTTGCTATCATTAGTCTGACAGGATTCTGGGAACCACCAACATTTGTTTGCATTTAAAGGAGAACTATGAGATGAGTGATTTTCACTCACCTCATAGTTCTAGCCGACCTGTGACAATGAGACTGTCACAGGTCGGCTCAGTAGATCGGGAGGTGAGCGAACACATACCGGGTTCGCTCGCCTCTCGATCCTGTCACGGCTCTCTGCCGTGACAGGGGGAGGGGCTGGATTCCCCTCTCCCCGCTCCGATCTGCCAGCGCTGACTGGCGAAACGGACGGGGGAGGGGGCGGGTACAGCTGGCTCTGCCTCTAGATAGGCAGAACCAGCTGTCACTCACGCAGCTGGGCGGATCTCGACGTCGATGTCGGGATCCACTCCAGCTGCGGCGTCTCAGTATACCGCGAGCTGTAGCTTGCGGTATACTGAGCTTAGGGTAACGGGAGGACGCTAGTTTGTGTCCTACCGTTACCCTAAGGAGAACTATGGGGAAAAACACTGACCCCATAGTTCTCCTTTAATGGAATTTGACATAAAACATCCCAAGTTATAATGGGTTTATATAAGGAAAGTTAAAAATGTCTATAGCAAATCCTGAAAGCATTTATTGTCATGGAATTGCTAGTGCTATGTATAAGTAATCAGAACTAAGCGTAGTGAACCTGTTTATCTACACATGACGAACATTGTGAGCGGCACATGTTTCTAAGTCCTGACATTGTTTATTAAGCAGCCTCTAAATGGCTATATTCATCCATGTAGCACAATAAAAGGGAGCTTCAGAAAAGCTGTGCATGGAAGTTCAGATACAATATACTATAACTTCGAGACATAGTTAGCTTCATAGTTAAGATTCTGTTTTGTGTATGCTGCATACAAAAGTTTTTTTTCCATACTGCATAACGATTTTAAGGTTTTAGTTTTTTTTTAATACAAGATCTAGTACATGGTTAAAAGTTTTTTATTAAGTTGTAACATATGTTTGTTTTGCAGGTTATCCTAAGCCAGCCAAAGAATCAAAAGGTAATTTGTTTCACCGTGAAATTGTGATATTTCTCTTCGGGTGAAGAGCTTTACATAAAGATTATTATACTGTAGTCTTTTTATATTTTAAATAGTGTTAAGCACTGTTAGATTTTTTTTTCATTCAGCCTACAGACTAGACATAGTGGATTCATGAATCTCCTGCTGGGATGTTGTGGTCCTGACAGTGGCTGCAGTCACTGTTGAGCCGACATTTTTTTCGCCTGGCACCTTCGATTTTCTAATGAAGGATGTCGGGTGGAAGACTTCCAAAAAGGGACCACCCACTGAGCAAATTTTGGCTGGTTCATCAAGAACTTTTAAATTTAACTGACAAAACTGTAGATCTGTTCCCTTTCAGAATTTGGTCTTTCTGTGTTTAAAGTACTAAATGGATACAGTTCTGTTTCGTTCTCTGTGTAGATTTTTAGTAGCCCATCCAACAATCAATGCCCAAGTTTGGCCAATTTTCATAACTATTTTTAAGCTACTCCCACTATTTGGATGCAGCAATGGGGCCACATTCTTACAGATAATAAAATATAATCGGTGTCTTTAATGCCTTACCTTCACTGTGAGCTATTGATGTGCTTGTTTAATGTGAGTGCATATCAATATCCATGAAATACAAACTTGACTAAGCAAAAAAATTACTACGTACAAGGCTCCATAAAATATTATAAATAAAAAAACTATAACCTTTTCTACTGAAGAAAGTCTTACTGTCAGACAATGAGTATAGATAATATAAATAACTTTTTATTGAATAAGGCTAATTAGTTAAAAGTGCTAACTCTTAAGTGCAGTACCCCCAAATTAACCAATCAGAATTAATTCTGCTTAAATCAGCTACGTACAGGATGGATTCTGATTGGTTGGGGTGGGTTACATAACTTAATAATTGTAATCATTTAATGATAAAGACTGTTTCTGTCTAGCTAATCATTTTAGCCTCTGTATTCCAAAGATTTGTAGGGCTAAGCCAGAAAAAAATATGCAAGCGCTGTTTGATGTGCTGTGCAAATCACTATGATGCAGTGGAGAAGTGTACACAGACACATTACAATTTACCTTACTTTTAATATTACAAAGTGCATATTTGTCTTTTAACAGCACTTAATGTGAAAACAAAATGTTATTATGCCTAAATTCTTCAAATATGAATTTCTACAGATTCTCATATCATGGTTCTAGATTGCTTATATGATATATTGTATTTTGACTATGTAATAAAGATTCACCACTCTGTATATCATAAGTATATGTGAGTGAATATGTAAGTTGAATCTTTTATTTGAAAATTCATTAAAAAGAAAGACAAAGATGTAACTTACTGCTACTGTTCAGTTTTTTTACTTCTGTGGCATAAAGTTTATTTCATGGGGTCAATAAATCTCATTATATTGAAACTGCAAATAAAAAAGCCAGTTGCCGAAATGAATGCAGAGATTGGGTAATTTTTAGTAATGCAATATTCATAAAATAGAACTGGTTTTCTTGTCTTTTTTAGATACTAGGACAATAACAGTCTTTCCAGAATCTAAAGGTAATTAACATTTTCTTTGAATTAACCTAAAACATAATTACTAAATACAGATCTGGATTATATGTAAAAATATTCTACTCAGTGATGATTTGAATAACTTTTGGAGGGGTAAATGGGATGAGCCCATCCCATTGTAAATTCATATAATAAAACACACAAACCTGGAAATATTTAAAAAAAAAAAATCAGGTGTTAGCTATGTAGGTTTAAGTGCCAGGTTTGGCAGAGACAGCTTCCTTCTGCTGCGCAGGAAGAAGGCATGATGGTATGCAAGTCATAGGTCACCTCTTGGTGATCTTAGCAAATATCCTTTTTTACCTATTGGAAATAATAGGGCAACTTTAAACACACATTGGCTCATTTAGTATACTCAAACAAGTCAGTAAAGTTTGCAAATATAACCTTTTAGGCTTTGCTCTTGCAACTGGTCTACACAATTACCAGGAGTTCTGCCAGTTTATACTTTCTGTTTGATGTTAAAAAAGCCATTTTCAGTCTGCAGTGAAGTCCTGTACAAAGCATGCATTACTCTAGATGATGATTTTTCTTTCATCCTCCATTCTCCTGCAGGCTAAGCAAGTACTACACGCGTCCAAAAGGATGCCAAAGATGCCTTACTTGACACAGTGATTTAACGATTAGCTGTTTCTCACTTCTCTGTTCAGAATTTCCTTGTGGTAGCCACAATATGCCACTTTTTCTGGACAACATTTGGCCTATAGAAATTATGATTTCAGGACTACAAGCTTTTGAGTATGGTTCATTAAGATATAAGAATCATTTTTTTTTAATTACCCTTCTATAGAGCCTGTTCTGATAGCAAGATTAGGTAGTTTATTTCATGCATAGCAGGGACCTGATTGTCAATTATTTTCAAATTTTAGGCATGGCATTTTGCCATTAAATAAAATGTTGTACATGATCGTTTTGTATGTAAAAAGGTACAGTAGTGGGGATTAGTCTGTAATCTTTCTATTGATTTTGTGTGTTTTATTTCTGCTAGGAGCTACTGCTACGACAGCTTTGATATCATTTTCTGCTGGAATAACTAAGCATTCTTTTGATGTTGGACTCATTCCCTTCAATCAAGTGTTGGTTAATGATGGAGATCATTATAACCCCGCTACAGGTAACATGCCTTAACTTGTGTTTTTACCTTCTAACACATGTATGTTTTATAGAGGATACAAACTTTTTACTGACCGATAGTAAATGGCTTTACTAACCTAGAAAGCCATATAGTTTCCTGGTGAATCCTATGAAATTGTAAATGTATTTCTTATTGTGGTATGTTTTATTGACTCAAATGCTAGTTAAACATTACAAGCTCCCCTCCTTGCGTGGTTCAACATCACTCCTAACTACCCTTCTAGTTCTAGTAGCCAGAGAACACATGTAGCCTTTAATGTCTCATTTATGGAACACATTAAGTCTATGGTGTTTGCCACATGTCTTTTAATGACAACAACATGCAGCATGTGAGCGGTTAGGGGCTGCAGATAATCCTGACCATAAATCACACATTGGCTGCATTTTTTTGGGTCGGCATGCATTCATGTTTGTTTCAGTGGTGACATGTATTATATGGTCTGTGTACATATGAAAGAAAGTGTCTAATAGTAAAAACCTTTTTAACAGGGAAGAATCTTGCATGCACATTCTGCAGTGTAAAGGGAATGTAAAATCTCTTGTGGATCACAGAGGCTGTCACTTCACTAGCATAGCAGATAAGTAACCCTTGCCTGTGGTTACCGTAGGGGCCAATCAGTGGGAGTGTTTTCCTATACTGTCCGTGAGAGACTAAAAGAAGGATGTTTTTAAAAAATAAGTCATTATTACCTCATCGGGTGAGAAGTAGGAGTTTACCATGCTGAAAAACTTAAGACATTTGAACATGAGTCATTGATTTTGCCACTGCATTCCTTCTGACTCTGCCGATATACAGTATTACTTGTCCCTTTTATTCATTTACAAAACTGAAATACATGTAAATTACTCTTTTTACATTCTTTAGGGGAATAAACAGCACTGACAGTTGGAGGTTGAAGAAAAACACATGTTCTTATTTATTTAAAAAAATGCAATGTGCAGATATCATTAACAAAGGCCTTTATCCCACAGCAACAAATGAGAATTATTCAATCAAAATACATTTGTACTCTCTAGAAATCTAGTAAAGTATCCTTTTAGCCTGGTAGCTTGCCCTTACCTTAACCAAGCTCCTCATTTGCTGCTGTATTGCCCCAAAATTCCTATGCAAATATTTTAGATGGTCAGTATTCACATATGTCTAATACTAAGCTTCCCATGTGATATCACTAGGATTCTGCAATAGGCTGCTCATGTACTCGTGTGCTAAATTATGGAAGACAGGTGAGGGTGTCACTTGCCACATACCCAAAAGTACTTATTTTTTCTGAGGGCTAGCAGATAAGTGCGTAAAGGTAGATGTAGCCACTAGGTTTCAAGGTAACTTTATTACACTGAGTACAGGTTTACTTTAGTAGATTTGACTACAACACTGAAATCTGGTTCCATCACATCAGTACTGTCTGCAGCACATTATTTAATAAACTTGACCATTTGGGCTTTAAATTAAATCTGCTGTGAAAGAATAGGGAGACTGACCTTTCCTTCTATTAGTTTGCTGGCTGTCATGCAGTACCAGTGGCTGAGGCACTCGTCTTGAAAAAGTATGCAGTTTGGGAGTTCTAGGGTTACTCGTATCTTTATAATCTGCCTGTTGTTTTTTTTTTGTTTTTTTTTGTTTTTTAGACAGTGACAATGTGTTAAAGCCAGAGACAGGCAGGCAACTAGTAATTTTTGAAGGAGGTCCGCAATGGCAGCCTTCATTTTTCACTTGTTATAGGTTTACTTTAAAGTGAATATGTGGTGGACATTCAAATATTTACATATTTTTAACAGTAAGCAGTGATGAATTTTAAAAGAAGCCCTTATTGACCTATGTAGCTGCAGGCATTGTGGAGTAGTTTATCCTCAAGTTCTGAGCAGAAGTATGCAAGCTCCACTTTCTTCATCCCTCCAGCAGGAACTCGACAGCCTTCCAATATTCTAATCTCTAATGTAAACACAAAGCAGGTACTCTGTGAGTGGGGAGCAAGGGAAGCTGAGCTGATAAGAGAGTGATTTCAGTGATGCTGCTGTGAATGTTTAGAATTTCTCCACAGTGTCTGCAGTTAGAGGCCAGGAAAGCATATTCTAAAACTAATTTCCTGAAATATATCTAAATTTGTGAATATCTTTTAGCCTGGCCACTTGTGCAATACATCTTTCAGTTTTTTGTTTTATGTTCACTAAAATGTATATTATTTTTTACACAAAAACTCAAAAACCTTGTAGGTGTTTTTTTGTTTTACAGTATAAGGCAGGACAGATCGCAAGCTGTATCATATTCCAACCAGTTAGAAAATAACTCTTAAAGTGTATGCCTGGACAAAAAAAAAAAAAAAAGTTGAACAAGTGACTATACCTGTTGCCAGTGAGCTCCTTCTTTACTCCCTGTGCACTTTGCATCTGCTGAATTGAAATCCCAAGCAGTGTTAGAAACTCTGCCTGTTTCTTCCCTGCTGTTTGATAGAACACCACCCCCTTATGTTTTGGTGATAAGGATAGGGGAAGGTGTTTTGTAGTCCAGTCCCCACTTTTAATCACACCCACAAACCCATGTCCCCAATTTGTAGCCACATCCATCCACAAAATCTCACCCCCAAACAATTGGTCATGTATTTTTGAAGCGAGAGGAAAATATTTAAGGTATACAGACAAAATTAACTTAATTTCTAATAAGAGGCGCCAAGTAATGCATGCATACTTAGAGGGATGCCTTCAAGTCAGCAAGAAGGGAAAAGCAGCATGTGTAGCGTGCCGCCTGCCAAACTCCAGTAGGCGTGGCCAATAAAGTGGAAGTCCCAATACAGTGTGGACTTGTACTGTGGGTGTAAACCAGGCCCCAGCATTGGTGTCATTGTAATTTCAGAAATACAAACTTATAGTTTGTAATATTTCTACTATTGTAAAAATACAAGCGCCTACTTTTAGCTTTAGTGAGCAACTTGACCTTCACTTTTATTCAGAGTGCAGGGGTAATAGTAAATAATGCTGAGTTTGGACATCAGTGGTATGAAACACAGAGTGCATGGGTTAGGCGTAAGTAACTCAGAGGTCAGTAGTAACGTAGAGATCAGAGATTAGTAGTATGTAATACAGAGTGCAGGGGTTATGAGTAAGTAACTAAGAGGCCAGTAGTAACGTAGAGATCAGAGATTAGTAGTATGTAATACAGAGTGCAGGGGTTATGAGTAAGTAACTCGGTGGCCAGTAGTAACGTAGAGATCAGAGATTAGTAGTATGTAATACAGAGTGCAGGGGTTATGAGTAAGTAACTCAGAGGTCAGCAGTAACGTAGAGTTCAAGGGGCAGTAGGAAATAACACAGCAGGTCAGCAATGAGTAAAACGGAGATCAAAGGTCAGCAGCAAGTAATTCAGAGGTCAGTAAAATTCAACGCCGAGCTCATTAGGAGTCAAAGAAAGGTGCACCTACACTACACTTCTTTTCAGCTCCCAAAAAACTTTATTGCCACTGAAACAGCTATACAGCTGTGCTTTGGTTTGTTGTATCTGTTCACACATCTTAAAACTGTTGTCTCTCTGTTCTAAGACACACAAACACTACTGTGCCCTTCATCCCAGCACATGTGTATACTTGGTATCAATGCAGCAAAGATGAGAATGTCAACACTAGAACATGCACCTTCAAATACAAGTTGGTGGCAGCACCTATACTTGTTTCTGCATTGTGTTCTTATTAGAGAATGCTCATGCACATCTGACCAATCTGTCTCACGATGGGGGAGGATTTATCAAAACTGGAGCAGACAGAATCTGGAGCAGTTGGCCATAATAACCATATAACCAATCAGCTTCTCTCTTCAGTTTGTTCAGTTAAGCTTTGAACAGATTCTGTCTGCTCCAGTTTTGATAAATTCCCTTCAATGTGTCTTGAGCCAGTTTCTCCCCAGCACCCCTGTTTTATTGTAGTTGATTAGGATGGTGAAGCCATGTGAAAAAGCCCTAATGCCAAGAGTAGTTCTAACCAATAGCAGATTAGTAGCTTCCTAACCTGTTTGATCATTTTGTTCCGCGAGAATGTCTATTCAGGGCTGTTGTAAACTGTCCTATAGATACTGGATTGTTGCCTGATCTGCCCAAACAAAGCGAGACCCGAAGACTGTGATCTATTATCTACATATATTTTTAAAACCATCATTCTCTGTCATGTTTTGCGAAAAACAACAACATAGAGTGAGGTCAAATGCATAATATAGAGAAAGATAGTTTAGAAATGTAAAACAAGGAAAGAATCCGATAAAAGCTATGAGTTGTGGCCTTTTCTCAGTCACTCCTTTGTTCCTTCCAGTATATCTATGGTCACAGCTGTCAAGTGAACATTCTCGGCACATTTATACTAATAATCTATTCATAAGTTCAAACACGCAGGCAAACCATGTGAGGATCTGCCATCTTTAAAATATTCAACTCCGTTACTGGAAGGCCAGTCACAAGATAAGACTGTGGACTTTGTGCTTCACTGAATTAAATCTTTGTGTTTTATAGAAGTGATAAAACATCTAACTGTTCCATGGATTGCAAAGATATGTGTGTTACTGATCTAGAGATACTCTCAAAACAGCAGCCAGTACATTTCTATGTTGCCTATATTTTTTAAGTCTATCTGTGCTGTTCCCATTACTTCCACAGACACATATACTTAGCCTCTTTTCACTTCCCAGTTGTTCCATTCAGTTGCAGGGAGCAAAGGAAAGTACGGTGTAAGGTATGGGTTGCCAGATCCGCAGCTTACACAGTGCTATCAACTCCTATTGTCAGTGCTGTTTGGCCCCGAACTGTCGCACAAAGTGAATTATTTGGTCCTCCATATCTGAATGTATTGGCTATTGTTACTGAAAGGAGCAATAGGGAGTAAAGGAAAGGTAAGTATACGCTGCTTGGGAATGTGCAAATCTAAGGAAGCTTTTGAGTAATCACAGGCCTGCAACAATGGAGCTTTTTGCCTGAAGAGGATATA